TTTTTAGAGATCACTTTTCTGATGGCTTTTCAACATTCATTTATTTTTAGTGAATATAGTAATTTTATATATTAATAATGTACTTCCAAGTATGCTGACATCAAGTATGGATCATATCCAATTATTATATTACTCTTCCATTTTGGTGTTTAGTTTTATATTTCCATAAGATAGATTACAACAAATATATTTTTCTTGTAAGATATTTTGAAATGCTATGGCAATGTTAGGAAAAGAAAGGGAAGAGAAGCAGGAACGCATCCTAATAAAACAAATCACCCTCGCACTTCTTCCTCTCAACAGTTTTGAATGTTAACGCCTTGCTTTTCTACTTTCTGATCACCTTGTATTCTGCTCACAGTCCTTATCTCTACAGTGAGGCCCAGGGTTCTGAATTGCTCTGGGCAGAATCACCAGGGACATACTTACCTCAGACCCCTGTCACGGTCATCAGCTCCAATGAAGTGCCATAATTTGAGTTCAAAGTCCTGCAGGATAAGACTTCTACAGACCTAGACTAGGACCAAGATAACCGCTGCAATGGACTACCTACCGCTGAAGAGAAACTGGTGTCTGAGGATACTACGACATAGCACCAATGAAGTTAAATGGGCAAGAAGCCCAACAGCCAGGGTCCACATGTCACCTCTGACACAGGCTACTTCAGGGTCTCTGTCATCAGCACTGAATTTTTGCAGTGTTAGGTTTAACCAGACTAAGAGAACTTCAAGGCATAGCCCTCTGCTAACTCTCTTGACAAACCCTCAGCCAATAGACTATTTTTCCTATTGTTGAGCGCTGTTGGCGAAGGCAGTCAATTGGTCACTTAGGCAGACATTAAGGTGGACTATGTATGATTCTCATAGCCTCAGGGCTTTCAGAGTCTCTGGGGGGAACACTGGAGTCCACATCCTAACTTGCCATCATTTAGACCAAAACTCAATTTCACTTCACACAAGGGTGCATGTCTCTGCTTGGCGCCAGGGAAGGTTGAGAGTACTTGGGTGGCAATTTTATCTGTGGGCAGTCTCCCAGCAATAGCTGTGCTGGTTAAAGTCAAAGGAGTGAGTAATTTTGATGTCCCCTTGGCAATCTAGTCAAAGGTAAACTGGGCTCCACTGGAGGTTCATAGTTTCAGGATATTGTGCTGTTTGGAGGTGTATATGTTGGGGGTGTAAGTTGAGAAAGGAATCTGGGTAAGTGAAGCCAGAGGGTAGGAAAATGGTTTTGGAATAACAGGTAGGGTGTATGTGGGAAGTCCTGCCTTAAACACCGAACCTGGGTCTTTTGAAAGAAATGTTTTATTTAAAAAAAAGTCAGGAGGAATAATTAAGTTTGAGGATGAGTAAGACTCTTAGATTGTATTACCACCGATCAGAGAAGGAAGAATTTAAACCCAGTTACTGCTCACATTTCCCTCAGCAGGGCAGTTCACTTCGAGTCATATGTTCTTAAAAAACTACCCTTATGGGGTCTAGGTATTATACATGTGATACATAATATGTGCATAAAGTTGTCTTTAAGATAATGCTACAACATACTAACCTTTTATTACTTTAAGTAGCTTGTTTTGTTTTGATTTTTAAATGTTCTGGGCGGTTTCTTGCTTCCCTTGGTCATAGTGCATACTGATGTAGTATCTATGAGTACTTTACAAAACTACACCCCAAGTCTAGCAAAGTCTGTGATCATCTGAGGATGTCCCCAGGGTCACGTAGGCTGCCGCAGTTTCTCAGCTGTAGAGCAGAGAAAAAGAGAGGGCGCCTTCAATTGGAAAAACATTCTGCTGACATAAATATGTGTCTCATTATAAGCCACTTGCAGGCATGCAATGATGATTGCTTTCAGCGGTGCATGCAACAGACTCACACAATAGCATGCATTTCTAATGAGAGGATCTAATTGTACCTACGGGCACAATGGCTAAAGTTAGACTGGGGTACTTGGTTCTTCATCCAATGGTTCTTTACTATTGTGTTTCGTGGGAAATGGTGCAGACAACATCCAGAAAGGTTTCCAACAAATGCCCTGGGATAAAGTTTTTTTCTTTTTTTCTCTTGTCGTCCTATGCTTATTCAAATGGAAGTAAAATGCAGGGAGGGGTGGGAGGAGAGGGATGCCTTGCAAAAATCACATGCCAAGTCTAACTCATACCATGGTGTTACCTCACGTGGTGAGGGTATCCTAGACAGGGATGAGTGCCCTTTGCCAACGTGCCTTTGCTAATGATGCCCGGTGTCGTCAATAACACAAAGCTGCATCACATCTACACGCGTTTTCATATAATTTCAGTTACTAAAGAGAGCACAGATTTGAACATCATCGTTTTTACCTCATTTGAAATCAGCGCATCTAGAAACCACCCAGGCAATCTTCAAATGCCATTTCTATTTCTAAACCAAATCTCACATTGTTTCTGTCTTAGGTGTGGGTTGTTAAACAAATCCTTGTTTATCCACGGGAGGAAACTCTCTGCTTAATCTGTTTTGTTAGCTCATGCTGCTTTAATGAGATGATTGCAGCATCCAGTGTCTCCGAGTCATCTGACTGGAGTCTCCCGCACTCGCGTTCCATACAGACCATTAGGGGTATGGCCTGTGGCTCTTTCCGTTCTTTGATGCAGTAAATGAACAGCTTACATACTCATCAGCTGCGGTAAAGCCCTGGCTGAAGAGCTGTCAGCTTTCCAGGCCCAGATCCGATGCCATGTGAGCGTCACATGAACAGGAAGAGGGAAGCAGTGGACGGGGAGGCACAGGGAAGCTGCAGGGGCCAGAGAGAGCTGGGCGTGTCTCAGGAGTGTAGACACATACAGGGGACAGTGGCCAAAGGGGACTGAGCTGCCACACATCTTTGAGGACCAGCACATAGTCAACACTTGTGGGTGGTTTTTAATTTTTTTGTCTTAAAATATGAACGGTTTTGGACTGAGAATCTAACATGCCCAAAATGCATGAAGCTCTGGTTCTGATCCCAGCATTGCATAAACTGAATATTGCAGTCAACAGCTGTAATCCCAGTACAGAGATGGGAGAATTAGAAGTTCAAGGTCATCCTTGGCCTCCTGTGTGCTGGTTCAGTCTCCTGCAGGCTGGTTTAGATGCCTGCATGCTAGGATTACAGGGTGCACTATCACACCCAGCCATGTATTAGTTTTGAGTCAATTTCTTATTTTTCTGAAAACTTCCTTCTACTTGGTAACCAGAATGTGGCAGAATCAGTATCACTGTTACCCATGAAAGATAAAGAATATCTTGTATGTAGAATATAAACCTCTCTCTTTCTTTCTCTCCTACTCTTTCTCTCCCTGTCTCTTTATATTTTGTATCTCTGCAGTTAGCACTCTTGTGAAGAAGGAAAGTGCCAATTCTTTTTTTGAGACAGGGATTTTCTATGTCACAGTCCTAGCTGTCCTGGATCTAGCTCTTGTAGACCAGACTGGCCTCAAATCACAGAGATCCACCTACCTCTGCCTCCCGAGTGCTAGGATTAAAGGTGTGCGCCACCACCGCCCAGCTGGCCAGTTCTTGTCATCTAAATTTCCCATGTTTCTGTGTCCACTCTATTCCTCTCCCACAGTTTCTTTATGACTCCTTGTGTCTGTTATTTGGGTCAGGCAGCAAATGTCTAAGATAAGATGTTAACTTCACCAATTTTAATCATTCCAGATGTGGCTGCCACATTATGCCACTAAACACCTCCGACTGATGGAGACTCATCTGTGACTTTGAAAACTGATTTTTGCATATCTGTGCAACTTGCCGTCAGCATTACAGACCAAATCTGGCTCTTATCTCGAGCCCTTTTGTGTTTCTGTTCAGATTCTCTCCGAATTAAAAAAGGTGAATTAGCTGTACTAATTATCATTATAGCCTTCTGCTGTTTTCCACTTTCATCTTTTTGTTCAAGGTCTTTCTTCCCTTGGGGAACCTCTCTTTTTTTTTTTTCACATCTTTCTCCCCCAAAATCATGACTCCAGTTATAGGCAGATTTCGCATGATTCACTGGAATCAGCAGTGACCTTGGCACTTAGTTCTGTTAATGGTGGTGGCCCTAACAAGAGTCTTCTGAACGACACTCAAAACTTTCTGTATTCTGTATCAAAGACACCAGGACTTTCTTCTGGAAGACTGTAGCTTCTTGAACACAGGCACAGTTCCTATTGAGAAATGCTCATTTTGTTATCTGCTGACGCACCTCAGACTCAGCACAGTGCTGAGGAATGCTGGGTTGCAGTTTGAGAGGTTGGGCGTTTAAACAAATGGGGGAAGGTCTTAGATGAGAGTCTGAGGCTGTTTTGAAGGGCCAGGCTTGTTTTCTCTCTAAGGCAGTCATGAGGTCATCGGTGTTGGGAAAGAATGGGGATGGGGAAGGCGTTTTTTCAGCAAGCCTTGCCTTTTGCAAGAACAGATGCAGCACAGCGTGTGACCACATCACATTACCAAGAGAACAACAGAAGAGTCTGCTTTCCCATGTGGCAGGAAAGAGCTGGAAACTGGATTGAGCTAGGTCAAGTTGATTTTGAGAGCCCGCCACCCCAACAATATTTTGCTCTTTCGGGCTCTGAATTTGATGCAATGGGAGGACAAAGAAGTTCACAAGCTTTGTTAAAAATTTGTTTTTCCTTACCAGAAAAAAAAGGTCTTCATGAATATTTAAAATAACTGTAGAGGGGCTGGAGAGATGGCTCAGAGGTTAAGAGCATTGCCTGCTCTTCCAAAGGTCCTGAGTTCAATTCCCAGCAACCACATGGTGGCTCACAACCATCTGTAATGGGGTCTGGTGCCCTCTTCTGGCCTGTAGGCATACACACAGACAGAATATTGTATACATAATAAATAAATAAATATTTTAAAAAAATAACTGTAGTGATGTGGGAGTGATTTCTTATTAATAAAGAAACTGCCTAGGCCCATTTGCATTTGATAGGCCAACCCTTAGGTAGGCGGAGTAGACAGAGTAGGATGCTGGGAGAAAGAAGCTGAGTGAGTGAGTCGCCATGATGCTCCCACTCCAGACAGAAGCAGGTTAAGATCCTCCCTGGTAAGCCAGCACATGGGCTACACAGAATATTAGAAATGGGTTAGAACAATATGTAAGAGCTAGCCAATAAGAAACTGGAACTAGCCGGGCCAGGCAGTGTTTGAAAGAATACAGTTTCCGTGTAATTATTTCTGGGCATAAACTAGCCATGCGGGTGGCCGGGTGCCGGGGACGCAGCCCTACCGCTCCTAATTCAACACTGTAGATGAGTGAAATGGGGGATATAGCCAGGAATAAAAATAACACAAATCAATACTTCATAAACAAAACAAAATTCCTTTGCAGCCATCAACATACAGTGGGTGCTAAGCTTGACAAAGTGAGAATCTCAATGTCTGCTCTGCGCATTTAGAGAGGGTCATGACGGATGGTGAGTCCTTCAGCTAGCTCCAGTAGCAACCAAAGTTATGATCAGCACAAGGACACAATCCGGAAATGACTTCCTCTGTAGAAATAAGTTGTTAGATAATGTATATCTCGCTATTTCTATCTAGGAACAACATATCACATTTGAATTGGCTTCTGGTGTGGATTTATGCGTATGTGGTTCTTAGAACAACAGCGGCTAAGAGAACACAGGGGACTGTCTCGTTCGTTCATCTCCCGGAGACGGTTTGGTTACTCTAACTCTCCTGCTGTGAGATCGAGTGGTTTCCAGGTGACCTTTGTAAATATTTAAGCATTTAGTATTTGACTTCATTTAAAATGTCTCGAAGTGTAATTGAAGGGGGAGTTGTATTCATGCAAAGGGCACAGCTCTCCTATTTTGAGGGCCATAACCCACTATAATTACCTTATTTGACCAAAGTGCCATACTAACTCAGCTGATCCTCCTATGATGATTCAACAGTTTAATTCCCACTTTATAAACAAAGAAACTCAGCAGAGTTGGAAAATCATGTGTTCAGAGAGATCGTGTGTTTGTAACACAGGCTGTATGCACTTATACGCTCCCTCCATCTGTTTTCTGTTTCCATACAATACGAGCTTATCTGAAAGCGCCGGGATTCCGTAGTCAGGAAACTGAGATACTAGTGTATTGTTCAGGTTCATCTGATGGGAATTTGACTGAAGCTACAATAAACATAGGTGTTTTTAATCCTTTAGGTAGCTAGCCAGGTACTAGCAAGTATGAGGGTATCTGAGGATGGACCCCCTTTTCACAGCCAGCAGCTTCGATTACTGCTCAAAACCATGGGATCTGAGTGATCTGGCCTTGGGTAGAGACGTGCTATTCTGAGACGCCCCCAAATCAGAGGATTGCTGTCTAGCTGTGTGTTTTCTGACAAGGACCAAATGGAAAGGGCCTGTCAATCATCTGAGTAAGAAAAGATCCTTCAGGAAAACCATTTCTTCTATGTGCTGTAGGGAAATAAAAGCGCTACCAAAGCATGCTAGTGGGCACAATGTGTCTTAGACCACTGTCCCTTTTTACCCCATAAATGTGTTTTCAGGAGTCACAGCCCCTTTGCTTATTGTCCCCTCATGCCTCTTGAGAGTGCCCCCATTTCACTGGGTAATAAATTCTGTTTTCTACACTATATTCTGCGGGTCTCATTTGAATTGCTTCAATGGATATTCCCAAGGATCAGGGAGCTGAGGGGAGGTTGGAGTGACATCCCAGTAGCATCTTTGTGTTTCAGTCACTCTTGGTGACTAAACTCAGCTGAAGTATCGGGAGATGGACAGCATTGTCACCCACACTGGCATTTGGTTGAGAGGTGGAGGTAGGAGGGTCAGAAGTGCAAAGACATCTTTGGCTATTTAGAAATTTGTTGGCTAGACAGGCCTACAATACCCTGTCGCAGACATTAAGTAAAATTAGCTGAGTAGCGAGTGTGGTGGCATACATCTGTAATCCTCCCACTTAAGAGTCTTAGACGAAAGAATTGCGAGTTTGAGACTAATCTGGGTTTTTTGGGAAGACGTGTTTCAATGTTAACCAAACAAAAATCCTAAACAAACACAAGTCAAATTCTTTAGCATTCCTAGACAAAGCATCCTGACTCCATGTAAAACCTTGCCTCTGGTCCAGATTTATTATGAGAAGCTAAAGGGATCTGCCCATGATAAATCTAAATAATACAAATAATTTCTATCCTAAATGGATGTCAAACTAGCACTTAAGCTTTGGGGTTTGGATGGTGGGTTTGGTTTGGGTCCTCTGACATGAACACTGAATACTGGGGACCACACGGAGGAAAGGGCAGCCTTTGTAAACATATCGTCCATATCTGGAAATGTTAGAGGCACTGGGAAGGTTCAGCCCAAGGAATGGAAAAACAGTATTTCGAAAGAATCAGAATCTCGAGGACAGGTTTTCCCTCAGGAAAGGTTAGGGCCGATGGATGAGAACTAGAGCACACCCTCTCACTTCAAACTGAAGCGGAACTAAAGTATTTGACCTTCTCAGTTGCTAATGTGTTACTGTTCAGTGGTGTGGAAAGTTAGACTCCGCTAAAGACAATAGCGGCGACAGCAGGAAGGACGGTGACTGGGGGTTGGTGTCTACTGGCGAAGTGTTGCTGGCTTCCACCACACAGGGGTCGATTTGTAATTATAATGGGGAAACTGAGGCTGCAAGATGGCACATGATTTGTTCAGTATGTTGCTAACAAATAACTGGGAAAGTGTGCCTTATTGAGGAAGCCTGAGAGGCAGGAGGTAAGGGGCCAGACACTGATGATAGTCCATTTGCTCCCTTTGTACATGCACAGAGACAAGCTGCCCACCCCATTCATCCAACTAGAAGAGAAAGGGATTTGGGCTTCACAGATGTTTTCCCTGAGATTTAAAATCTTCCCTGAATAAAATGTTCAGAATCCTGCAGTTCCTTTAAAACCACATTAGGTGACTGGTACACGGCATCCATGGCCCGTGCTTGACCTATATTGAAGGGAAAATTGTTCTTACCCTGTATACATACCCTACAGCTCAGATCAATAATATATACACATCCATACTTTGCTATATAATTTGTTATAACTTTTTTTCTATTATTTTATTGGTATGACATTTTGCCTGCATGTATATCTGTTCACTATGTTTGTACAGTGCTCTCAGAGGCCAGAAGAAGGTGTTGGATCCTCTAGAACTGGAGTTACAGACTGTTGTGAGCCACCGTGTGGTCATAGGGAATCAACCCCGGTCCTCTGAAAGAGCAGGCAAAGCTCTTAACCTCTAAGCCTTCTCTCTAATCCCATGTCATTTATTATGAAAGACGGAACTCACCAAATGACCCCTATCAAACTCTTCCATCTCATCAATATCTATAACCCTTAAAAAATAATGCCCAATTTATTCTTGAGGTGATCCTTAAAAAACAATACCCCAGTTATCCCTGAGTTGGCACAGGAGTTTTGCTTTTACTTTTTCAACCACTTCCTCTACTAAGTGGACTCTTGACTTGCTCACTGGCCATCTGAGTCTGTCTGCATTCTTTACGAATGAGAACAAACACCCGGACTGATGGAGTCTGACTTCCTTGAGTGATGTCCCCAGCAATGTGAGTGTGGCTTTGGACTTTTAATAATAAGATCCTGAGGCTATCAAATGCCTCATGAGACCTGAGTCTAAACACCAGCCAATAGTTTAACAAATAGGATGTTATTGACAACAATATACTGATGTCTAGAAGCAATAGTTAGGGATAGATAGATGTGGAGTAAACAAATAGCTAAGAATAAACTTAGAGCCATCATGTCGCATTTCCTTAAACATTAAGTAAGAGAAGGCTGATTTACTAAAAAGAGATTTATTCAGAGTCATGTTCCAACCCTCAGACTGATTTTGAGTAGGAAAGATGTTTACTTAAAGGTTTAGTAAAGAATGGATTCCGTCATTATTCTGTGACCTGAGCCTGATTCCAGCAGGCTAGTTCCATCTGTGAGCACAGGATTTAGAACCTTTAGCTTTGAGGTCCAGATGATTCTGTCAAAAGCATCTCAGCTCCTGAGAGCAAAGACACCCCAAAGCTATCAGGACTCGGTATGTGTTCTGTGACTGAGGATGTCTGAAGGCCACCATAAACAAACTGGCCAGTCATGGAAGGACCGAGGCCATGACTACAGCTCCTTAAACACTACCCTAAGATATGGAGCCTAAACAACAACCAGCTTCATCTGTTTTCAAGTAAACTCTGAAGACAATTCCACTTGTTTGTCAGGGCTTTGGGCGTTTTTTTTTTTCCCCCAGTGGCAATGTTGTCTTTCCAGACTTGTCTCATCTTTCTGTATTTCCATAGCTTGTTTCCATATCTGTTTTCCAGGAAGCAGAGTGGAGGAAGAGGCAACGGGAGGCTCTACTCTTTCAACTTGAGTCCCAGACACGCCATCAATCAAACCATGGTCACACGAAACAGCCATTGCTAAGGGAAACAGAAAGAAAGAGTCTTTAAAGGAGTGGCCATGTGATCCAAATAAAATCTTTATGACTCTAAGCCAAAGTGATGGGTTAAAGCAGCAATGGCTGAGTCTATGGAAACATGGCCACCTATGGATGAGTGTAGTCTGGATTTGTCTCATTTTTTCCACTGTAATTTTCAGTAAAACCACACTCTAGTTATTTACTAAAAAGTACGCCTTAATGTTCTTACCATGCGGACCTCTCAGTGTTTGATTTGGTCAGTTGATTAAAGGCAGTATTTAGGGCAGGCCACAAGGATATCCTTAGCTACAGATAAGCAGACTCTCTTTTTAAATGTACTTATTTTTTATTTATATGTTTGAATGTTGTACTGGTTGACTTTGTGTGTCAACTTGACACAAGCTAGAGTCATCAGAGATGAAGGAGCCTCTGTTTTCAGGAAATGCCTCCATGAGATCCAGCTGTAAGGCATTTTCTCAATTAGTGATCAATGGGGGAGGGCCCAGCCCATGATGGGTGCTGTCATCCCTGAGCCAGAAATCCTGCTTTCTCTGAGAAAGCACTGAGCAAGCCAGGAGAAGCAAACCAGTAAGGGACACTACTCCATGGCCTCTGGATGAGCTCCTGCCTCCAGAACCCTGCCCTGTTTGCATTCCTGTCCTGACTTCCTTCAGTGATGAGCAGGTATGTGGAAGTGAAAGCCAAATAAACCTCCTTTCTCTTCAACTTGCTTTGTGGTGATGGTGTTTGTCACAGTGATAGGGACCCTAACTAAGACAAATGTTTTGCTTACATGTGTCTGGGTGCCACATGTGTGCAATACCCATAGAGGACAGGAGAGGGCGTTGGAAGAGAGAGACACTGAGCCTGGCTTGGGCTTCTGAAACCTCAAAGCCCATCTCCAGTGCCACAGTTCCTCCAACAAGGCTTATGAAATAACCACTCTGAGGATAGACATTAGCTCAATCAGTAGAGCATGAGACTCTTAATTTCAGGGTTGTGGGTTCAAGTCCCATGTTAGACACTATAAAGTAAACAATGACTGACTGTTCTTTCATTTGCTGGCTGCCCAGACCTGAATAATCACACCAAAACTAAGTTAATTACAACACTGCTTGGCCAATGGCTCAGGTGTATTCCTAGCTATCTCTTACATCTCAAATTAACCCATTTTTATTATTCTATGTATCGCCACGAAGCTGTGTCTTACTGGGAATGTTCTGGCATTTTTTCTCCTTCAGTGGTTACATGGTGTCTCCTTGACTCTCTCTTTTTCTGTCTCTGTTCAGATTTTTCGCCTGGCTTTACTCTACTAAGCCACTGGTTGAAACAGTTTTATTCCTTGACCAATAAAAAGAACACATATACAGAAGGACATCACACACCTACTTCAAAAGGCCCATTCCTAATCCTTCTCAAGTAGTATTACTCTCTGATGACTAAGTATTCAAATACATGAGCCTTTGGGGACCATTCTTATTCAAACCACCGAGGCGACATTCCATCACAAGCCACTGAAACTAGGGGACTGTTTAAAGTGCTGCCTGACATTATTTTTATATCTCTGAACATTTGGAAAGGGGTGTTTATTTTTCTCCTCTCTGGAAGCACCTGAGGAAAAAAGACTCTTTAAATTGTTTATGAGCCTTTCCAAATATTTCTGTGCAGATGGCATGTCTTCAAGCTTGGATGCACTAGAAAGAAACCTCACGAATGCAGGAAGTTAACTTTTATTCCACATACATCCATAGATACACATCACATGCATGTGTCTATGTAGGTGCACAGGAGGCTGCAGAAGAGGAGAGTCTACCTAATTAAATTATTCGATGATGGTTGCACATGAACTCGGAGGAATACATATAAAAGTGATGGTTTTTTGGAAATTATTCTTGTTATTTTTTTTGTTTTGTTTTTTACTACAGGAAGCAGTTGAATCCCCTTTAACACTTGAAGAAAAGCAGCACCATTTTCTTTTGAAGTCTCCCATCATAGAGAGCTCGGATGTGAGCCCTGTTTGTCCACACTTAACATGGTACATTTCTAACTATCTGTTAAGTAAATATTTTGATGAGATTTTCTTCTTCTTTAAATGATGATAAATTCCTTTCGCTACAGTTCTTTCTCTCGTTGTATACGTATGTACAATAGCATTTTTGCTTTGCAAAAATACTTATTATTTTCTATTGGTATCTGATTATTATATATCTTTTAGTCAGAATTTTATGACTGTGGCCAAGTGTTTTAGGAAGGAAGGGACCAGGACAACATAAACTTTAAAACAGAGGCATGTGACGGTACGTTGTGGATTACAGTCTCTTTCTGGATGAACCAAGATGGATCAAAACAAGTGAGTGCGATACCAAGTTTTGACCAGCATCTTTAAAACATGAGGGCAACTTTCCCCTCGGGAAAACGATGAAACCAACTAATGGTAAAGTCATTTTTAGAAACGTTCAACAGTGAACTTCCCCAAGCCTTTAAACCACAAAAATCAACTTTGAAATATGAGCCTGCTAGCCGAGATCCTGTGACGGAAGGCAAGAGGCTATCAGTTAGAATCTTGAGCCTCATGCGGCGTGAGATCGAGAATGAGGGAGAAAGACAGAAGGGATAAATCAGCCCGAGAAAGCGCTAGTTCATTGTCGTGCTGCAGGGCTGGAAAAAGAAAATAAAGAACATTCTCTCTTTGGGAAGACTCTCAGTTTGGAGTCACGAGGACCATCATTTCCAGCGTTGCATTCTTTGTTTATATAAAACAGCTTCAAAGGATTAGTTGTCTGGAGAAGCGATTCTGTCCCTTTTCATATTTCTGAAGCCACAGTCGCATACAAATCAAAAGCTGCGGCACTGCACAACACGCGGCAGGTCACAGCTCCTCAAGGCAAGATGGCGCCGTGCATAAAGTGCTTACTGAAGAGGGCTGGTGATTTGAGATTAATCCCCAGGACGCATGCAAAGGCGGGAGGAGAGAAGAGATGCCACAAGTTTGTCAACTGATCTCCGTATTCTCATCATGATGTGTGTTCCCCACCTCACACACACAAATAGTATGTGTATATATACATATATGTATACATATATTAAAAAGTTAAAACAGTCAAGGTTTAATCATTCTGCAATATGCATATGTTTCATGACATCATGTTGTAATGGCTGAACGGACGGCTTCTCTGTAACTGCAATTTCACATAAACTCTGGCTTTCGATGGGTCTCTTGACTATCACGTATCAAGATGTTACCAAAGTTTTTAGGGCATGGGCTGGGCCCTGGAAACCCTTACAAACTAGGCTCAGCTACCCATTCCCAGAGTTCCAATTAAAGAGACAACTTAAAATCAGAGAAAATAGATTTATTCAGTGAGGGCCACATTGGGCAGAAGTGAACCTAGAGACCCCGTGATACCATCTTCATGGCGCTGATGTGAGGTTTAGGTTTAAATACATAGCAAGAGCTGTGGAAAATGAACAGTCCTGGACACGGTGTGGGGCCCTATCTGTCACTGGCGCATAACTGTCTGAGCTCTGTTCTGTCTTGCAAGGTGGGCTAACAAATTGTCAGAACAGTGTGAAATCTTTTCAGGAGAAGCAGGTTCCTTCTCTGGCTGGCATCACTCGGTAGCCCTCTCTTTCCTCAGCGTGGGATTCTTGGGGGGAAATTTTTAATTATTTGAGCTCTGGTGTTTCAGGCATCTGGCAGCTAAAGGCAGGGGGCTAAGTGTCTCTTTGACAGATGTCCTCTCCAGCTGGCCAGCTATGGAAAGACCAGAAGCTACACATGTATGTATGTATGTATGTATGTATGTATGTATGTATGGCAGCTATACAAACTTCTAAGTCCACAATGTTCAAAGCTGGTGTCTTCCTTCTGGTGAGTGGGGTTTTCTCTTATTACCTTTTCCTTTGTGAGCAAAGGAGACCTGATTGCATGACCAGCCACCTCCAACTGATACCCCTCCGGCTCTTCACATGTTCTTCTGTGTAATCCGGCTTCCTTTTGCTACAGTTACAACAGTCCTGACTCTTCAGCCATGTAACAAAGCTTCGAACATTTGGAGAAAGCTGTTCTCTCTTTTCGTGGGTATCTGCTTAGGTCCCTTCCCTGGGTCTGTGCCTACATATTTCAACTCCTCTTCACATTCCAGGGTACCGTGTCATCGTAACATTCCAGCAGAGTCCCCTCACTTTTGGCTATCTTAACCAGAAGAAACAGACCCAAGCAGAGCAGCAGAGAGTGGCGTTGTATTGTTCTTTCCCTCGGAGACTGTATTCTCTCCCTACTTCCAGAAGCCCCATTTGTGACGTTTTTCTGTTAACCTCTAGCTCATCACTGACTCACCCTAGACATGTCATGCATTCAAACTCCCAGGCTGTAGCTAAAAAGCAGCTCTTCCATGGTCTTTAAAGACACAGATCCTTTACTTACACAAATGGTCTCTGTTTTTATGGGTTTCTGTTTGTCACTGTATGTGTCTCTGTGTCTATATGTTTTCCTTGTGCTTTTTCTTTAGCTCCCAGTTTTTGTGGTTAGTTTTTGTTTTGTTTTGTCTTAGGGTTTCTACTACTGTGAAAAGATACCATGACCATGGCAACTCTTATAAAAGAAAACATTTAATTGAGGTTTCATGGGCTCAGACCATTCTCGTCATGACAGGGAGCAGGGTTGCACATAGGCAGACATGCTGCTGGCTGCATCTTAATCAGAAGGCAACAGGAAGTAGACTGTCTGTCACACTGAGAAAAACTTGAGCAAAAAAGAGATCTCAAGCTGGGCGGTGGTGGCGCACACCTTTAATCCCAGCACTCGGGAGGCAGAGGCAGGCGGATCCCTGTGAGTTCGAGGCCAGCCCGGTCTACAAGAGCTAGTTCCAAGACAGGAACCAAAAAGCTACGGAGAAACCCTGTTTTGAAAATCCAAATAAATAAATAAATAAATAAAAATAAAATAAAAAGAGATCTCAAAGCCCACTCCCAAGGCAATACACTTCTCCAACAAGGCCAGACCTCCTAATAGTGCCACTCCCTTTGGGATAATGAAGGCCTATTACATTCAAACTCCTGTAGTCTTATTCAGGTTGGTTGGGATTTTATCTTATTTTATTATTATTTTCTTTAGATGCCTGCTTGTTTTCTAAACAGAGAGATCAAGAAAGTATGTGGATTTGGGTGGGTGGGGAGGATCTCATACGAGCTGGGGGAGGGGAAGCCATGATCACAATATATTGTATGAAAGAACTCTATTTTCAAAAGAGGAAAGAAAAAAGATAGTTTTTATATGAAAAAAGATTTTACATTGGCTTCAAACTAAGTCCTGCTGCATTAGAGATGCCCCACTTTCCATGCTCACTAATGAGTATTGTGAGTCCGTCAGGAACTGAATTCTCTGCTTACTGTTTTTCCACTTCCATAAAGTTCTATTTAGATATTGTGCTATTATCAAGGAAATTAAAAACATTTATCACAAAATGGTACAAGTCCAGATAGATTTAATATTCCCCCCTCCTCTTCCCTTCCTTCCCTCCTTTCTTTTCTCCCTCCTTCCCTCTCTCCTTACCTGTCTGTCTACCTGTTTCCTGTTTTTTGGCCTTTATGATACAGAGCTTCACGTGGCCCTGGCTGGCCAGGAGTTCACTGCAGAGCCAGCGATGACCTTGAACGCCTGGCCCTCCACAGGGGCA